TTTTTTTTGATTTTCGAGACAGGGTTTCTCTGTGTAGCTTTGCGCCTTTCCTGGAACTCGCTTTGGAGACCAGGCTGGCCTCGAACTCAGAGATCCGCTTGCCTCTGCCTCCCAAGTGCTGGGGCTAAAAGCATGCACCACCACTGCCCGGCCTGTGCTTGTTTTTAATGTCATTTTTTCCATTCTGTCTTTTTAAATTTTAAAACTGTACACAGTGTATGTTGTACACGTGAACAGGTATATGTGTACATGGAGGCCCAGAGGACAAACTTGGCTGTTGTTCCTTGACTGCATGCAGTCTACTTGGTTTTTGTTCAGATGTGGACTCTACTGGCTGGGAACTAAACAAGTAGGCTGGCTGGCTGGTGAGCCCCAGCGAGTCGCCTCTCTCTGCCTCCTAAACACGGCGGCAATGCCTGGCATTTTTACATGGGTTCTGAAGATCAGAATCAGATCTCTGTAGGTATTTTACTGATTAAGCTATCTCCAAGCCCCACTCTACAGCATTTAGAAATAGGATTTATTCGGAAGTTAGCAGACAAAATTAGCACAGTCTAGTTCTACAATTATTATTCTTTCTAAATAAGTAAAATTTGGGGGAAAGACATCTAACATTCTGGTCTGGGAAAAGTTTAAAATAAATGCCTTCATCACAAAGCCTGCCTAGTAGATTCTCCCAAAAGATATATCCAATAACAGAAAATGTCTGAAGAACTTCAAATATATTTTACAAATATATATTAAGCAATGTATTCTAGTCCATATAGCCTATGAGTTCTATTATAACGATACTATAAATATAAATAGAATTCCCACTTCTCTTAAGGTATATCTTTTCTTGAGCAATGTCAGTGAGGACAGAGATGCAGTATCAATAAATGGAATCAAGACTATAGGATTGGGGGTTAGAGAGATGGCTCAGCAGTTAGGAGCACTGACTGATCTTCCAGAGGTCCTGAGTTCAATTCCCAGCAACCACATGGCAGCTCACATCTGTCTGTGACTCCAGTTCCAGGGGACCAGATACCCATGGCAAAACACCAATGCAAATAAAAAACAAACAACAACAAAAAAGACTACAGGATTGTTTTGTGAGGTCATGCATGTCCCAGGGGTAATCCTCCCAAAAGCTTACAGGGGCTAAAAACAGGAACTGGGCAAACTCTGAATAAAAAGATCCTATAGAACCAGGAGGTAAATGAACACTAATGGGTTTTGAACCCTGCACTGCCTTCAGGAAATTACTCATCACTAGGCAAGTAAAAATAACCCATATCATTCGCATAATGATACGCATTTACATAATGAATAAGACTATTTTCTATTTATTATTTTACTTTACTTTTATAAAACCTCCATGAGGCAGGTGCACAGATTTTTTCTCTCTTTATCAATAATCCAGGGATTACGATGCTAGTTATAGGTGCTAAAAAACAGGACTAGAGATAAAGTCCTGCTCTTCGCTTACTAAGGATGCCAGAGGCTCTCAATGTCACCTGACTGTTAGAATAACACTGAGTGTTTGGAAAGGAGAGGCCCAAAGGTCCAGGGAGGAGTCAAGAACGAGGACACTTTCGAGTTGTGTGTTAACTGGACAGACGAAGGAGAGGAAGTGCAGGCTGAATATGCAAATGCACACAAACATGACCATGACATTTCTGTAAGGACAGGGGGGATGGCCACTGAGACAAAGGGGATGCAGAGTGTATACAGCAGTTTAAAAGTCTAGAACCTTAGCTGTGGTGGAACACACCTATAAACTCATCACTGGGCTGAGTCAGGTGACTCAGTGACTGAGTATAAGGACTTAAAAATGAGATCTGGGTCCAAATGTCAATCATACAGCAGCCGTTAAGCAAAGCTCTAGACACTGAGGTGGAGAACTATCAACACAGCTCGCTGTAAGGCAGCAGAGACTAGATCTGGCCACAAGAGAGGAGGAGGAGGGTTAGGGTTAGGGTTAGGGTGAGGGTGAGGGTTAGGTCAAAGTCTTCTAGGTTTCTGCTGTGAATGGCAAGCACAATGGTGGTTCTTATCAACCAGGATTAGAAATATGGGAAGGGGAAGTGGTTTTTCTGGTAAGATAATGGTTTTATTTCGGACTGTCAAGCAGGGTGACAGCATTAGATGGTCAAATGAGAATTCTAGAGTTGTCAGGAAATACTGACAAGCAGGAGTTACCACAGCAAGGGTCAGTCTCGAGAAATAAAAAGCAGAAATAAATGGTAATGACTAAGGAATAAGTAAGGAGACAAGATACTGAATATAGCTTCTGTTTGGAAAAAAGACTTAGCAATACATGGTATAAAGCAGGCTCAAGGAATATCCCCCAGCAGTAAAATCTACGAGACAACTGATACAACCAGGTGAACTTCAAAATTATGCTGAGTCAAAATTAAGGCACAGAGGAGCACACAGTATGCAACCCCACTTACATGAAATTCTAGAACCATATTAAAGCTCCTTCCTACTTCTGCTCAAAGACAGCCAGTCCCTCGGATTCCTTGGACCTGTTTCTAAAACCCAGCTTTGACCCTTTTGTGGCAGCCTATGAAAGCAACAAGATTCCTGGACTCCCCATGCTGATCTGTAACTAATCCACCTTCCCTCAGGGTTAATCCTACCACTCAACCCAGCAAACATCCTGGTTGGTCCTGATTTGGTTTAATATTGACTTGTGATTATAGCATTAGTTATAATAGCTAGTGTGTTTTAAACTTTTTTAAAAAACAGAAATAGACATATATACTATGTCTCTCCGGATAACCGCTCTTCTAGCCTGAGCTAGTTTTAAGTGCAGTCTGGCTATCATTTTCCTCCTCCTTCCTTTTTTCCTATCTGTAATGTCTCGTACTCCAATAGTGCCCATTCTCCTTCATTTCTGCAGCACTCACCCACTCAGCAAACAACCTAGCAATCCCTAGCAAACACAGGCTCTCTCTCCGTTCACTCCAAACCTCATGTGTACTCATCATTACCTTTCCCATCTACTCCGAACCTCCTAACGAAGATCATACAGAATTGGACCTGTGCTTCCCAATCTTTATTACTTGCCACCCCTCTAGTCTACAACCCAGCAAAAAGAGAAAAGCAAAGAAAAAAACCCTGTCTGAGTTTTCCTTTTCACTCTACTGTTGAGCTGTGCCCACGGCCCCAGTCCTCCGACCCACGGCCCCAGTCCTCCGACCCACGGCCCATGCTATGATTCTCGTTTCCGGGTTATCCTTCGCCTCCCTCCTCCAGACAGCGCCTCTTCCAGGATGCTTTCCTAACGCCCTACTCTGTCACATGTTCACATGGAAACCTGCTCTTACTGCATCAGAAGTTCCGCCCACACCTTAACTGTCTGTGTGTTCCTTACACTGCACGGCCCAACGCTTAGCTAGGACTGGGTTCCTGCATTCTTTCCCTGCTCTGGAATACTACGTAAAGCAAAGCTGGGGCCCATACAGTGGGGTCTCAAGAACAGTGCTGAGTTAATTTTACTTTTTGAAACACTGTATTTGTACTGTCTTCACCTTTTTACGACTTCCTACGTTAATTTTCCCTTTGGTTTTTTAGTACTGCCTCCTGCTCATGTTATCAGTCATAAGAACCCTGTTTCCCCTTCATTCTTAACCTCACTGCACTCTGGTTCCCAGCACCTCACTAACACTAATTATTACTCAAATGCTCTCATGACCTAAGAACAGTGCACTCAGATTGGCTTTCTGGATCTCCTCAGTCTTTACCAGTGGGAGCCCCAACACCTGTAAAGTCACAGGAAAGCAGGAAAGTACCTCTATGTTAGTGGCATTCAGCTTCTCCTCCATGACTTGTTTGAGAATGATGAGTGAAGACTTGATGGCTTCCTTCAGTGTCATAGACTTGAACAGAATGAGATGAGCTGTTAGTGAACATAATCCCTTCCTTCAGTCCTCTCCCCCATCGCTCTGAAGAAGCAGCTTGGCCAGTACTAATAAACTTTACATCTGAATTTGTATAGTGTACTACATTATATAATAATATCAATATTCAAGTATATGGCAAGTAGAATATACTCATTCAGAAGAAAAATATCCTACTTTGAGCTACTAACTTTCACATAGTAAATGATCTTTGAGAAAGAGGAAAAGGCTGTACATCTCTAGTGCTTATTGATTTTCTTGATTTAAAAGGTAACATAACCTGGGTAACATTCTAATAATGCCCAATCGACCTAAAAAGGCAATCCAATGATTCAGAAGATTCAGTTTTCATTTTTTTACCCATCTTAAGGTTCCTATTACTGTGATAAACACCATGACCAAAAGCAACTTGGGAAGGAAAGGGTTTATTTCACCTTAGAATTCTCAGGTCATACTCCATCACTGAGGGAAGTCGAGGCAGGAAAAGAAGCAGAGGCTGTGGAGGATGCTGCTTACTGGCTTGTTCCTGACTTCCTCAGTTTGCTTTCTTATAGACCCCAGGACCACCTGCCCAGAGATGGCACCACCCGTAGTGAGCTGGACCCTCCCACACCAATCAAGAAAATGTCCTACAGACCTGCCGAGAGGCCAGTCTGATGAGGTATTCTCTCAACTGAAACCCGCTTTTCATATGGCTCTAACGTGTGTCAGGTTGACACACGCACACACAAATAAATAAATGAATAACAGACACCAACTAGGACGTGGACTGACACCTAATTTCCTGCACAGGCAAGATCTGCGTTCCAGGCAAAGGGCATCACTGTGCTTTCTTTGGTTGCACTTGTCAGATCTGTAAGTCTGTGGCCACCCTGTGCTCAACAAGCTTACTGGTGACGTTTTTCTAAAAGCAGAAGAGTATTTTGTGTCTCTGTGTTATTTCTAATTCTCACAATAATTTGAACTTCAATTTCTTTCTTGTTTTTTTTTTTTGTTATCTGAGACAGGGTTTCTCTGTGTAGCCCTGGCTGTCCTGAAACTTGCTCTGTAGACCAGGCTGGCTTCAAACTCAGAGATCCACCTGCCTCTGCCTCTGAGGGCTAGAATTAAAGGCATGCGCCACCAGTGCCTGGTTTACCCCCAATATTATCACCTTTTCCCCCTCTCTTTTCTTTTGTGTGTGAATGTTCATGTGTGTGCAGATTCATGGGGGGTAGGGTTGCATGTGCATGCATGTGGAGGTCAGAGAACAACCTTCTGTGTTATTCCTCAGACACCTTTAAAATTGTTGAAACCAATCTCTCACTGGCCTGGAATTCACCAAGTATGCTAGGCTGCCTAGCAAGTGAGCCCCAGTGATCCACCTGTCTGCCTCCCAAGCATTGTGATTACAAGCTTGTTGTACAAGGCCTGGCTGCCCCCCTCCTTTTTCTTAATGATGTGTGCTTCTGTGTGGGTATACACAAGAGTGCAGAGGCCCACAGAAGCCAAAGAAAGGGTGTCAGATCCCCTGGAGCTCGAGTTACAGATAGCTGTGAGTCACCTGACATGGGTGCTGAGAACCAAATTCCAGTCTTCTGTAAGAGCAGTGTGTTCTCTTAACCTCTGAGGCAGCTCTCCAGCTTTTATTAATGTGGGTTCTGGGGAATCATGCTTACAAGAGAAGCACTTTACTAAGAAGGGTCCCTGAAACACAGCAAGTCACCTTTGATGCTCTTGCTGTAATTGTTCTGGAGTGCCATAGCCCCCCAGGCGATGCTAACGCTAACAAATGCAGCAGGTGTCTGACTGCTTACAGCCCATCTCTTCTGGGGCTTCTCTACATTCCAAGAAGCAGTAACACTGCAATGAGGTCAATTAATAACTGTGATGACTTCTAAGATACCAGTAAAAGGAAAAGTCACGTGACTCTCACTTTAAATCAAAAACTAAAAATGGTAAAGCTCAGTACAGTTTATCAAAATTTGAGTTGGGCTGAAAGCTAGGCCTCTTGTGCTAAACAGTTAGGCAAGCTGTGAAAGGAAGGGAAAGGGCCTGTTTAAAGATGATTTCATGTGTGTGTGTGGGTACCCATGGAGCCAGAAAAGGGTGTCAGATCCCTTAGAGCTGGCATTGCTGGCACTTACAAGCCACCAAATATAGGTACTGGGATCTGAACTCAGGTCCTGATAGAGCAGTAAGTACTCTTAACTGCTGAGCCATCTCTCTAGGCCCAAGAGGAAAACCTTTGATGGTAACTCAAAGTGCTATTCCAGCGAACATGTAACTGGGTTGGCAGTGCATGCCGTTAATCCCAACACCCAGGAGACAGAGGCAGACATTGATAAATAGATCATTTTCACATCTTGTTTTAGGTTGTGATTCCAAGGTGACACAACTCTCAAAACTTAGAACAAAACTCTTCATTTCAGGTCTATAGTTTTAATTACAGAGGAGTTAAACACTGACTTAAAAAGTGATGGTGACATTTGTGAGAACAGTTCATTACCTTGTGGTAAACTTCTTGCAAGGAGCTCTGGGCACCCTCTGAAGCAGAGCCAATTGCTCGAGCATCACACTGTACAAAGGTCCCAGATGGGTCCATATGGAACCTGAAAAGGACAACAATGTTAAGAGCGAAGCATTTTATGCCACAAACACCTCACTAAAAGACGTCTATGCGTTTCACCCCGCAGCAGGACATGCTACTGCAGTACCGAGGAACAGTTCCTAAAACTTTTTGTTTTGAGAAACAGTTCTTTTAAAGGGTCCTTACTAATGATATATACATCTGTGTACACATGGAAATGTCACAGTGAAACCCACTTTGTGTGCTAACCAAAAAATTCACTTAAAATAATATTTTATTTTAAAAAAGAAGAAAATGTTGGTTAAGAAAATCACTGACTTCTTCAGGGTTTGGGAGAGAAGAATGACAGAGTGAGTATACATAACCATGGCACACCTAAGACGTGAACAGAATGACCATGGTATTTATGTCAGTCTTATCAACTGTCAGTCTTATCTTTGATACACCAAGGTGAGAATGAAGATCAGATGGTAACAGCAATAAGGTAACTTCTAATTCTTCCGAGAATTAGCATTGGTTCTGCAGAGGTTCTTCATGGATCTCTAATTCTCACATAAACAGCACACAGACACTGACTCAGAAGCCCTACTTTTTCCTAATAATTGCTTCTTCCTTTTTACTTATTAAAAATTTAATTAATTAATTTGTTTGTTTGTTGTTGGCTAGTTGGCTTTTCAAGGCAAGGTTTCTATGTAGTCTTGTAACTCTCACTCTGTAGACCAGGGGTGGGAGAGCTCAAACTCTGCCTCCTGAGTGCTGGGATTAAAGATGTGCGCCACCACCCAGCTGTTTCTCTCCTTTTTAAAACAGAGTGGCTCAAGACTGGTCTGGAACTTACTGTAGCCAAGGACAAGCTTAAATGTATCCCCGTGCCTACACCTTCAGAGTCCTAGGAATGTAGGCGTGCTCCAGCACACTGGCTTTGCGTGGTGGTGGGTTGACACCCAGAGCTCTGTGTCTACTAGGCAAGCACTCTTACTGAGCTATAGCTCTAACTCTTTGCAGCTCTTCAGTAGATCACACTGCAAATCACAATAATCACACACACACACACCCCCCCCACACACACACTCCCAAAGCAGGGGGAAAAAGAATGGTACTTACAGCTGGGGTCCTTTCTCATCAACTCCTCCAAACAATAATGCTACTCCAAAGGGACGAGACTAGAACCAAAAAGAATTCATTTAGAAGAGGCTACAAATAATGAGAACGAGAGCCCAGGAAAACATGTGCAGAGGGCAGACCCTTTCAGTCCTACAGAATAGCAAGCAGGCTCAACACAAGCATCTGAACTAACTCACCATGGCGCCTGGATCTGCATCTTCTTCTCCAAACTGCAAAGCCAGATTGGACACAGCCTGGGTCACACTCTCCACCGTCATTGTCTCATTATAGGTGAACCAATGGTTCTAGAAAAAGGGCAAAGAGTGATACTGCTTCCTGGGAAGCAGGAAACTCAACAGTTCACCACCTCTCTACCAAGTGAAAGCAAGACTCGAATGCCTCTTTCTGTTTCCAAGACAGGGTCTCACTATCTATCACAGACAGACTTAGAACTTGCAGTCCTCCCAAGGACTAGGATTACAGACAGATCACCTGCCCAGATCAACACTTTCTTCTTGATTAATACTAGCCACTGAATACTCTGGACTATATCAGAGAGGAACAGCTCTGATTGCCAGGTGTTACGGTATATGCCCATGATCCACGCAATCAGAAGGATCATGAGTTCAAGGCCAGTCTGGGCTGGTCACAGAAAGAATGTGTCTCAAGAGGGGGCAGGGGAAAATGAAGGGGAGAAGAGGACAGAGTGAGCGAGCACATGCATGTGCACACAGATAAGCTCTGGAAATAAGATGACTTAGAGGCTGCTACCCTTGAAAACTAGGCTTAACATCTAAAGTAAAGCGGCAAGTTTAGCCTTCTAATGAAGTCAATGTTAGTAACCAAGTGTCAGTTTTCCTTAAATACTCATCTTATCCTGTTAAGTTTATGTTAAATGGAGAACAAGCGTGCGAGTAAGTACAAAAATTTCTACCTTGCAGCAATCACTGCTACAATCAAACCAGATACCCATGGATTTGTCTGTAGTTTTGTTGTTGTTGTTGTTGTTCTTTTATTAAAGAAAATCACCATTCTTAAAATGTCACTTGGTACAAATCATTGTTTACCAGATGAGAACAATTTTATAAGCCTGGCAGAAAAGGCCTTTTACTATGACCACATTCCACCACAATGCTCCACAGAAAGCCAATCAGGGGATACAGTGCATGCTTTATGTAAGGTCAACCTGGAAGAAGCAAGAGACTGTAGGCTTTACTGACTAGAGCCTGCTTTAAGCTGCAATGTCTGGAGAGCTAAGTCCTAAGTCCCGAGAGTTGTAGCAGGAGAATCGACCCAAAATACTCCCAAGAGCCATGTCTAATAGCAACACAGACACCTGCAATGTAACCCAGGTAGCTCTATCATCATTAAACAAGGAGTGCATGCATCAGTAAAAAGCAGAGAAGATGCTGATTTTACCTGTGTCTCCACTCTGGCTTTATCAATTAAAGTTTTAGCATCAGCAATTAGCCCACTCATGGCACAACCTGTAATGTAAAAGCAACAGTGACCGATCGGCCAAAAACCTTCTAGAACTTTTCATCCACTCAGTAAATACTGGAAATCTGGCCTGGAACCATGGCAACAATCTCACAGCAATCAACCCAACAGAATAAATGGGAAATGATGACCACCGAATATAGGTATAATGATCACACAAACAGAAAACCAACCATGCTGACAGTGAAGTCCAGATAGTAAGCCAGACAAACATGAATGTCCACATACTGCAGCCAAAGAATCCCCTTAGCAAATGTTACAGAGCACGATGCACTTAACATCTATTTCATTGTTTATTGGCCTATCTGTGTGTATGTGAATAGTGTGTGTGAGAGTGGGTGCAATGTCCCAGTATACACGGAGAGGCCAGAACAACCTTTACATGAGTTCCAGGGATGGAACCCCAGTCCCCAGGTTTATTCAGAAAGTGCCTTTAACCACTGTGACACCTTGCTGGCCCCATGATGCACTTCTGAGCAAAGCAAACCCTACAGCCAAGCCCAAGAAGAAACTATCTCCCTAGGGACTGCAGCAGAAGACCTCGGGAAAACATCAAGAGCCTCTTCAGTTCTCTACTCCAACAAAGCAACTTGTTATTTTAGAAAGCTGCCTAATGGCTGAATGTGCCAAGATTACTAATGGCTGTAATTGCTACTTATATGCCATGATTCAAATCTCAGTCTCAGGCCGGGTTTCTCTCCAAAGCGTCAGACCTACAAAGTAAAATGACTGTCAGTCCATCTAGTTGGATACCACTGTCTCAACCCACTTCCCTTGTGGAAGCCCTTGTCTTCCTTGGCCTTCACAACCAATCAGATCCCAAGTTCTCTTTTGGCCACTGCCTTGGTTGAAGAATTTCATAATTTGACTGATGACCAAATATTCAAATATTTGAACTATTAAATTTCTTTCTTTTCCTTTTTTTTTTTTTTTTTTTGTAAAACGTTTTATGAATTTACATGTAATTCTTACATAGGGGCCTTTTTTTTTTTTTTAAGTTTTTCAAGAGGGTCTGTCTGTATAACAGCTCTGTCTGTCATGGAACACACTTTATAAACCAAGCTGGCCACAAACTCAGAGACCCACTTGCCTCTGCCTCCTGAGTGCTGGGATTAAAGGTGTGCGCCACCACTGCCTGGCTACACTAAAAATGTTCTTACCACTGCCTGGCTACACTAAAAATGTTCTTAACTGTTGACTCCCCTGCCTCCATTCTCAGGTTGCCCCATCAACCTACCTTCAGAAACTGTCATGAGAATATTCTAAAATTCTGCTGGGATGGCAGTGTCTCACTGTTGGGATCCCTTCCTAGCAATGCAAAGTCCAAGCCCTTTAGCAGGATTGGCGGGGGGGACTTTCTATTCTCTGACTTCCAGACTCATCTCTTGCCACACAGTTTACTTCCCAATCATGCTAAAATATTTATGCCCCTAATATTTTGTAGCAGAGAGCTTTGCTTTTAAGGTCCTATACATGCTAAAGCACATGTTCCTCCACTAAGCTACATCCATCTCCAGCCCTATTTTTATTTTTTATTTTGTAACAGAGTCTTTCCTAGACTGCTAGGGAAGTTGTGAAACTCTGAAGTCTTGCTGTCAGCCTCCCAGCAGCTGGAATTACAGTGCCAGGCTTGGCAAGCTCAACCATGATGGTTAATCTTCACTTTCTACTGACAGGCTTTAGAATCATAGGGGAGACAGAGACAATACCTCTTGGTGTGTTGGGGGCGTTTCCAAAGGATTAACTAAATGGGGAAGACCCATTAGAGTGTGAGTAACTGGGCTAGTACCATAGGTAGAATAAAATGAATAAAAGAGAAAGCCAGGGACCATCACAGTACTCTTTTCTCTACTCCAGATCTACGATGCGAACATAGATATCCACAATGTTTTCACCACAATGACAGGGAACCCTCTGAAACTGTGAGTGGGCCAAAACAAAGGTTCCTTCTCTTAAACCGTCAGATATCTGGTCACAGTGTAGAAAAAGTAACTAATACCCACGACCACCGAACCCAGACAAAACTCTTTTTCCTCCTTTACACCCCGAGCATACACTGTGCACCACCACAAATAAGACCGCCTGTTCCTGGGGACAAGTACCATGTCTGCCTCCTGTCTATAGCCATGGAGTCTAGCATAATGTTTTCTACCTTTGAATGACGTGACATTGACCTACCTCCAAAAGACAGTTGGCCTGAGATACAGCAGACATAATGTTCTAATTGCAGAATCTGCTTCTCTAGCTATGAAAGAAAATACTAAGCTCCCACAGTTACCATGGCATTTAGTTCTTATGGCCTTTAAGCAATTAATTATTTTGCAAATGTTGTATTAATTGAGTTGAGTAAATAAGATAAGCAAATCTGGATAGCCAACTATAACACAAAGCAGTAAAATGTAAAAGTACCCATCTTTAAATGCTACATTGTCAAGAGCCAAAGCAAGAAAATTATACTAAAGACCAGAGAAAGAAGGAGAAAAACAATTAAGAAGGGGGCCAGGAGAAAAACAATTAAGTCTAACACACGGGAATAGGGTTGATTTGGTCAAAGTTTGTATGATTCTTGTAACACTCTGAACCTTAAACTCTCCAAAGATCTTTGAGAATTACTGTTTCTCAGTGGACATTACAACTTTCCACACTAGCTCGGCTCCAGCTAGCTTACTACCAGGGTAACATGGCCATCTCAGGAACTAGACTAGGAGCCAATCTTTATGTATTTAAATATCATCGTATTTGCCAAAGGCTGGGTTTTAGTTCAGCGGTAGAATGTTTGCCTAGCATTTGAGAGTATCTGGGTTCAATTCCAAGCACTGCAAAATGTAAAATACAGCAAATCTGAAGATGAAAAGAATTTCTGGTAGTAGGTTAAGCATAGTAAGTCCTGAGACTGCTCTCTACTGCCTAAATTTATGTACACTGGCCTCCTGCCTTGAAAATAACAGCGAATCAGAAGATAAGCCATCTACCATGTGAACCTCCCTTGGATCACAGAAGATAATTAACGCATGCCAGATCCTACAATAACTTCCGCCTATTACTTACCTATATGTGCATCAATCTCTACAATTTTCTCAATGCTGCTAGGCTCCATTAGTGGGGAGGTAATTCTCTTCTCCACAGCTAGACACACACCCTCTGATGTCTGGATGCCAATGGCCGTAGAACCAAGCTAAAACAAACAAACAAACAAACAAAAGGCATGCTGTGGTTACAACGCACAGCTCAAAGAAATCCCTGCACTCCTTCACAAGCAGCTCAGTCATCCATACCTAGGACACAGGAAGAACAGAGAGCGCCTAATAAACACTATACTGTTCTGTGAACAGCAAAGGCATTTACAGAATTCTGTACTGTAGAAGAGGAAGTCTGGGACTTGGGGGAACAAGGGAAGCTCCATGGCAGAGTGCTTACCTTGAATGAGTAAGGCTCTGGGTTCAGTCCCCAGTACCAAAAATGGGGTGGGGTATCCAATAAGGTCTGAACACATCTGAAAAATGATGTATGTTAACACTAATACTGGGAGGGAGAATTCTAAAGTTCTAATCATAGTTTGTTAGTTTTTTTGGTCTAATCTCTGTTTTTTCCTGGAATTCGTGGTTTTACCTCTACTATCTATATTGGTCTGTCCAATAGGTTATGTTCCCCGAACCCATGTCATCTCTGGAAAAGAAAAAGAGGAAAAAAGAGTGGGAAGAGAAAAGACCACCATGCTCAATAAGCATAGTAAAATACTAGCTTAATCCAAGTCACCAGCAGTCTACAATACAGTCAATTCCTCTCTTCACCTCCACATCACCAGTCACCCCCACATACCTCATCACTATGTGCCTCAATTTTCTGTCTGCAAAATGAAGACAATCATAATAGCTGCATCAAGAAAACGTAGCCTACCACATAATAAACAAGTGTTTTCCTGTCATATAGCCTCCCCACACCTCTCTCCTTTGAGAAAAGGCCTCATCATGTAACTCTAGCCGAAATGAAATTTGCTATGTAGATCAGGCTTGCTTCTGCCTCCCAAATCATGAGCCACACTCCACACCTCTGTCTCATCCTTAGTCTCTTGATCTGAATATATCTTTTTTTTTTTTTTTTTTTTTTTTTTTTCACAGTTGTACTTGGTTTCTTGTTCTTCCCTACACGCAAGGGATTTTGTGACCTTGGCTGTCCAGGCTGGCCTCGAACTCACAGAGATCCACCTGGCTCTGCCTCCCGAGTGCTGGGATTAAAGGCGTGCGCCACCACCGCCCGGCTCTGAATATATCTTTTATTGATACAGATTTTTAAAAATGCTATTTTCACTATATTTCTCTCAAGAACTGATACTCTGTATTGCCTGTAAGTTAAAAACCAAATGAGCTTCTCATAATCATAACCTTTCACCTCCAACTTCATCACTATTAAATGACAAACCCATAAGTGCTCAACATTCAAGGCATATTATCAGTAACACAGTACCCTTCCTAAAGCTGTCTCCTGTGGAAGATATTCTTCCTTCTGCCTCTCCAAATTTACCTACTACTCATAAAGCCTCCTAAGACCACCCTTTCTTTATCCCCTGGATTCCCATTGTATCTTCTTAGTTCTATAAAACAATGGCGTGCGTGTGTGCGTGCACTTAGTGAGGATGCCTGCAGAGGCCACAAGAAGGCATCCGATGCCCAAGGCCTAGAACTACAGGCAGTTTGAGCCACCCAACATGAGTATTGGGAACTGAACTCTGGAAGAGCAGTAAGAGCTCTTCACCACTGAACCATCTTTCTAGCTCCTCCATGAATCCACACACGGAACATGTTTGACATGCCTTTGTTTGTTTTTGTTTTTGGAGACAGGGTTACTCTCTGTAACAGCTCTGGCTGTCCTGGAACTCACTCTGTAGACCAGGCTGGCCTTGAACTCAAAGAGATTCACCAGCCTCTGCCTCCTGAGTGCTGGGATTAAAGACATGGGCCATCACTGCCTCGAGTTTAACATGTCTTTAGACGGAATGTTGTCAAAATATTTCTGAAAAAGCAGCAACATGAAGCAAAGGAGGAAGGGTTTGTCTGGCTCACAGATGGAGGGTACAGTCCATGCAGTGGGGAGGAGGGAGGGTTTGCTCACAGATGGAGGGTACAGTCCATGCAGAGGGGAAGGAGGAAGGGTTTGCTCACAGATGGAGGGTACAGTCCATG